ACTATGTATATATGATATTTCATCCTGATTTTAGCCTTAATATTTTTTTTTTAAGTTACTAATCTTTACAGCTTCTGATCTATATAAAGTTATTTAAATGAATAAATAATTGAATTGATTTTCATAAATTGTCCTAAGATAGTTATAATTTATCACTAATACACTAATTCCAAAAATGAATTCTAAAAACTAATCATTTTACAATTAGATTATACTTCTTATTTCAGAATAATCAATACAATTATAAATAAAATGAAATATTCAAAATGCTAATATGCATAATTATTTCAAGTTGAATATGTATCTGAAATATTTAGTGATAGTTGCAAATTGTATGAGTATTATGATATCAAATTGTGATTTTCATTTTTTTATTTTCAAGATTTTTAAATTCATAAATACATGATGAGCATTCTGTATGAGACAAAAAGATATAATTATATTTCAAACATAAATTTTTTAGATAATTTTTAATTAAAATAAAATTTAGGAGATTTTATAAATAAATATATTATTTTCATTAATTTAATTAAGTATTTCAATTAGGCATTTAAGTTAAAACACTTATCAGCATTGTAAATAGTCTTTAAAAAATAACAAGTTTCATATTTAAATCAGCCTTTATCATCAAATATAATTCTTTTATTTCATTTGCAACAAATTTATCGTATTTTATTGTAGTAATAAAAAAATGAATTATTATGCTTATCATAATGTAAAACTTGCAAAAATTTATATTAGAATTATTAAAGTATTCAAAAATTGTTTTTTAAAAAAGACTGAATTTATTATTGCTAAATCACTTTGATTTATAGATATATTATTAAAATACGACAGTAGTGAAAGCAACGTTGTTTTCCATTATAATAATGGAAACTGTTTAATGATAACATTTATCATAATATTTTAGGAAATCAAAGTCTTTAAATCTATATCCAATTAACACAAGTGTATTAGAGAGAGAATTTCCAAATTTTTGTTAATTTTAAAGTGATATATCTATTTACACTTTAATGAACTATAAAATTATTAAGGTTCTATATATATTATATGAGAAGTTTAAAAATGAATTCCCTTCTTTCTTTCTTTCTTTCTTTCTTAGAAATCTAGAATTTATTTATGTTTAATTGATTTTATTGTTTTAAAATGTTATAATAATAATTCTCATATGAACTTTAATCCAAACCTTTCTATGAATTATAACTTTGTTTAGCAATTGCAATTCACCATAATCATAAATAATTAATAGCAGGCGATTATACTTAAATTAAATTATTCCAATTCAAAGATGGTGTATTAAGATTATTGAAAATTCTTAATAATTCTGGTGATATCACTACTCTTAATTATTTTAAGACAAAACCAAATTTTATTTCTGGTTCATATGATGCCTTTCTGTTACTTTAGCCATAAACTAATATTTCCTCTTCAAAATATTTAGTAAAATTACCTAAGTGTTCTGATAGTATTAATTGTCTAGTCATTCACCCTAGTGAAGATCTAATAATTTGTGGTTCAAATTCTATTGAATTTTGGTCTTCTTATTCTGAAATTACATAGCACTAACAATGGGTTTAATATTAAACAATAAGCCATGAAAATTCAGTTTATCTTGGATTATCATTGAATTAAAATGGAAATGAATTAATTTCATGTGGAAATAATAATGTAATCTTGGTTATGAAGGGTTCAAATACATAAAAATGGATTATTATTAAAACAATTAATGTAGAAAATAATGGTGCTAGATT